ATCATATAGTATAATAGAATTTTGAAACTTGATGTATATTTTATTTAAACAGGGCCAGCCTGGAGATCCAGGACTAATGGTGTGCCAGGTTATAAAGGTGGTAAGGGCGAGGATGGATTTCATGGTACTCCAGGTAATCCTGGATTCAAGGTAAGATCATTGTCATTAAACAAATTATAAATGTTAAAATGTATGATTATGATGTATCTATCATAATTTTGTATTGATCCTACATTGATTTCCAAGTGGAACAGCAATCATCAAAAGAGCTTCCTAATACATACATGTTCGAACTAATCACAGTCGTTATTTTGTTTTAGGGTGAACAGGGTGACCCTGGTCCTGAAGGGTATACTGGTCCAAAAGGTCTTCCTGGAGATGATCCGGTAGGTTTGGTTTCATTAAACTGGTCATTGATTATTCTTGTTGATAAATCCTTAGTGGTGTTTATGATACATATCTTGGCATATGCCAAGAATTGGTCACTTTGTAAATTTATACCCAGTCTCTACAATATGGTTGAGTCTCAGTGTACTACACTGTTTGTTTATGTATTTATTTATTTATTTGTTTGTTTGTTTGTTTGTTTGTTTGTTTGTTTGTTTGACACAACACTGTCTTTGAAAGATCAGCAGTAAAATCACTAAAGTCTGTGCATCTTCGACTAATTGTCTTACACATACTTTAATAATGCCTTTAATGCGACAATTTGGTGATCAGGTTAAATATAGGTGACTGGTTGTAAAATACTCTAAAATCATGTATTTTAACATATTTAGAAGCACTGTCTCGATCATGTGTTTTTAGATTCCTTTCAGACTCAGTGGAAGAATTAACCATTAAGGGTAGTTTGGTTTTTGGCATTCCGGCTTTTGAGGATTGTACAAAAAAATGATACAATCAAAATAACCTTCCATCACAGCTTCACTAATATTGCTATGTAACTGTTTGTGTCACCAGGAAGTTGGTGATGGGCCTCCAGGTCAGCCAGGTATACCAGGTGCTCCTGGAATCACTGGTCCACAAGGTCCTCCTGGTCCTCCAGGTGATAGTGGACTTCAAGGTTTTCTTGGACGAGCTGGTCCTCCAGGTGAAGAAGGACAGGAAGGTTATCCGGGTATTGGTAGAGATGGAGAGAAGGGAGATCAAGGAATGCCAGGTAAATCTTTTCATTTTTTTCATATTTTCAAAACCACCAGATTGATTTGATTCCTTCCTCTATCAGATTACTGTTAATAAATTTTCTAGTAAATACCTGTATTTATGTTATCTTAAAACAAATAGACAGATTGATTCAATATTTCTTTCTCACACAGCAGAGCTATATAGCCGATAGGCTGCTTGTATTTTGCTGAGTGTTATAAATATCTTTCAATTTTGAAGTGGTCAGAAGTTGAATTTGAAATATTTTATTAATGTGCGAATCATCAGAAAATGTTAAACGAATACAGCTGTGTCAATGTGTTCTTCACCATCGACAATAATGGGAAAATAGTGGTAATTGTCAGTACTAATGGTCAATGGTTAATGACATTCTTGACCTGTCAAGTTCCGAAGAATGAAAACTAACGAGACAACCAAAAAATACAATCATAATTTTAAAGGCCAATAACAAATTATGGTTGAGGTTTTTTGTTTTAATGTTATCATGATTACTTCTCAATTTGCAGGCATGCCTGGTAAGCCAGGATCTATGGGTAGACGAGGATTAACTGGGCCAAAAGGTGAAGCAGGTGAGAAAGGATCAGCAGGTGCATCTATAGCAGGCCCTCCTGGTATGGATGGACCACCTGGTATGAGAGGTAAACCAGGCATCAAAGGTGAAGAGGGCCCTATGGGACCAACTGGTAAGTCATATCTCTTTTACACTATGTGACTGACTAAGGTGAAATGTTCCTTGAAACAATTAAAATAAATTATATTCAGGGATTATTGTTGCACTTGTCTAAACAAAAAAGCATAAACTAAACTTTTGCAAACTGGACAGTGTTTACACCTATATCGCTAAGGGTTTATGGATAAATAACTATGTTATTAGGCGGTTAAAGTTTTGGAACTTGAAATATCTAAATGATAGCTGCTTGGAAGAATTGGTATATGTAGATATGTGCATCCAGAAAAGCTTTCATCTGTGATTAATGTTTCCACGTGTTGTCATGGTTTTTAGTCCCCGTTCGGACAAAGTCCGAAAACAAGGACTATTAATTTGGGTATGTATGTATGTATGTATGTACATACGTCCAGAGCTATATCTCGGACACCCATTTACGAATTTCATTCAAACTTTACATGAAGACAATACATAATGTCTTACATATGCCGGCTGGCGACCATTTTGTATGTAAAATTTGCTATTTCTGACACTTAAACGTGTTCGCAGCGGTTTTTCGGAGATGACTGGGTCGATTTGGATCAAAGTTTGTATGATGATTGGGTTGTAGGTGCATGTCATTTTGTTTTCGTGATTCGAACATGGCCGACTGGCGGCCATCTTGTTTTTCATGGTACCCATGCTACTTTCTCTTGAATGCCATGAACGTTTCTGTTTAAATTTTGTACAAAGATAGTATACCAAGAGATACAACTACACCAACATTATTTTTGTGATTCGATTTAATGTGGCTGACTGATGCCCAAATTTCATGTAAAAGTGCTAAATCGTCATTTTTACATGTCTGTTTCTCAGAGATGACTAGTCCAATTTAGATCAAAGTTGATATGATGATCATACATATTTGGGTTATAGTTGCATGTCATATTTTTTCTGTGATTCAAACAAATATGGCTGACTGCGGGCCATTTCGTTTTTCATGAAGCCCATGCCTACTTTCCCATGAATGCAATGAACATTTCTGTTTAAATTTTGTACAAAGACAGTATACCAATAGATACATCAACATGTACATTATTTTTGTAATTTGATTCAATATGACTGCCCAATGTCCAATTCTCGTGTAAAAGCACTAAATCATATTTTTTTACAAATCTATCTCCTATTAATGGTTTCAATCTAATCTCATTGACTTCATCAGCATAAAATTGATATGTCAGATCACAAAATTTTGGATGGGGACTGTTTCATTAATATTGACTTGTTAACGTACAGAATTGGACTGGACAGATCCAGAAGCATTCAGAATCTGCTGCTCTAACAAAATCAATACTGAAAAATTTTGTTAGAAGCTGCAGCTTCTATTAAAATAATACAATGCCACAGAGGGATGCAGTTTCTACACATGAGAAAAATGATAAATTTTTGGTTCTCAATTTGTTCAAAAAGAATGGGTTACGGCTTCTGTTAGGGATGCTGCTTCTAGTAAAGATTTTATGGTACAAGAGTCAAGCCTCGTTAGTGCAGTGTCTAGTGGAAGTTGTAACACCTTGAAAAAGAGGCTTTCAAAATGGCGATTTAGAATTTATGCTTACATAATTACAGAGATTTCTATAATGATTTAGTATAGAGCCAATGCAAATTTTGATGTTATATGCATTTTGATTGAATGTGCGCTTCTAATAAAGCAAATATACTTTGTACTAAAAGTAGTCAGTTGAGGAGTCTTTGTGCTGAATAAATACGCCCCCATTTATTCTATGAACTACTGGTAGTGAGTTTCATTGTGTTTTTTTGCTACATTTGTATTGTGGTTGCAGTTTCTGGTGAGTGAGACAATGTTTCAAATTTTATAGATTACATATTCAATGATTGTGATTGCCATGGAGATCCACTAGTTAAACATCATCTGATTGAATTTACTGTAATCTATTCATTTTCACATGAATTTACCTGAAATACTATCTTTTATTTAAGGTGCACCTGGCTTATCAGCAGAAGGAAAGGATAATTCTGGCCCACCGGGTGAAGTAGGTCCTCCAGGTCATAATGGCCAAAGAGGCTTGCCAGGTCCTGTTGGTCCTCCTGGTCCTTTTGGGCCAAAGGGTAACTATTGTGATTTTTTTTTGTCTTGATTGTTGAATCATATTTACATTATTATAATTAGCAGTGAGTATCATATTACTACTTATTGATTGATCTGCTGTTATATATAATTTGATTGATAATGGTATTTTTCCCTAAATTACTCCACCATTGTGTTTTGTGCTGTTTGTAAAACATTAAACTTTCCATCAAAATACAGGTGATGTGGGTGGTTACTGTGAAGATGTGTGTCTCCCTGGAGCCAAAGGTGATGTAGGAGATCGTGGATATAGTGGAGTGCCAGGTTTGACTGGCCCATCTGGTGGACCTGGTCCAAAAGGTCATTCTGGTGGAATAGGTGAAACTGGTCCCCCTGGAAATCCCGGTCTTCGTGGTCTTCCAGTGAGTACAATTGATAATATAATCATTGAACGTTAACTTAGATGAAGAACCAAGCTGTTTGTACTTTCTTGACACATGATTGGTTGCTTATTTACTTACTTATAAGTTAGGGCCACAACAGTTGCCTGAAGCATGACTGTTGTCACAACTGGATAGGGAATGTGAGATTGTATTGAGAGATCTGCGAAAAGCTTGTTGCGTATTTACAGCCAACCTACTAGGGAATTGAAACAGTTGTTAATGTTTTGTGCTTGGGCATAATTAAAGATTTTTTTGTGATAATAAATAAAGTAGTATAGGATAAACACCATTGTAAAGTAACTCTTTAGGAGTCTGACTAAAGATAAAATGTAAAAGCCATGAGAAGTATTTGAAACCCACCACCAGAATCATCTACTGATATAAATTGTGGGGAGAGGGGGTCTCATACTTTTGATAGCATTCAGTAAGTTCTGTCAGCTATTCTGCACAAAGTCCATAATGGGAAAGGAAGACTATGCCTTTATTTTCAAATGGAATATTCTATAAAAGTTCTAGAATGTTGTGTTACATGATCTAAATCAGCTTTAAGTAACTATAAATTCTGTTCAGGAAACAAAAGTCACTGCCAACTCATCTTTCAGTATGACTTCCTAGACATCTTTCCAATGCAAGATCCTATTTTGACCATATTTGTCCACAGCTAGGGTGTCATCTATAGGGTCCTCGAGCATTTTACCCTTTTGACCACCTAAGTAACTCTTTTCTAAGACAACATGGTCCTCTATCTCTATCGTTTTGTTTTTATTTTTGGCAAAATAAGAAGAAAAGCGTGCTTATTGACAGATGATCAATACATAGTTTTTGTCATGAACGATGTTATTTGGAACTCACGAATAGGGGTCCGGCTCATAATCAGGTTGTGCTAAATATCGATACATGCAGAGTGAGCTCTGGGTAACATTTGTGGTTTCTTCTTAGTACAGTGCAACTTGATGAGCGTTATATATAACATAACTGTTTATTATTAGCTGATTTATGGTGAAGATCAATGGAAGTTATTATTTGCATTTTGCAAATTCAGTGGGAACATTTTAGTTGTAGGTTATACTAATATTTATCATATATTTATGTTCATTCATATTATTGTTTTCATGATATTAGGGAATAGATGGACAACCTGGTTATGATGGAAAAAAGGGTCATCAGGGTGAACCAGGATATTACGTAGGAGTACCTGGTAAGTTCTTTTATTGTTCTCTGCCAAACTGGAATGCAGGTCACTGCCTAATTTATGTATAATTAGCATATGAAACTTGATTGGTGGTAAATTGAATCCATCATTCAGTCAGTTGGTTCCATCCATCCACTCAGCTCTCTGGCCAATCTCTATTCTCACACTTATGTGGACCTATTTTATTCAAATTTGACACAAAAACATAACATCATGGCTCACATGTGCCCATCATCTTGATTTTTCAGTCCAACAATGATGGCTATCTGGTGGCAATTCCACTTGACCCAAAGACATAAAATCATGGCTCACTTGTGCCCATCAACTTGGCTTTGCAGTCCCACTCACGATGTATGTCTGATGGCCATTCCACTTAACACAACAACATATCATGGCTCACAAGTGTTTATCAACTTGCCTTTGCAATCCAACCCAAGATGGCTGACTGAAGTCTATTCCACTTGACATAAAGCCAAAACTTCATAGCTTACAGGTGCCCCACTAATCCAATAGGGCTTTCTCGTTGCCATACGACTTTCTAGTAGCCATATGACTTTACAAAAAGACATAACATAATGGCATACATCAAGGTGCCCACTGCTTGAATTTGCAAAATTGTTCAAAGTCTATTTCTAACGTTCCAGGAAAAAATCATTTCAATAGATTGTTGTTTCACTGTTGTTTTGCTGTTGTTTCATAGTCAGCTTGCCTTGTTCCATTATCCTGTTTCTGATTTAAATATCTGTTTTTGTTTTTTGCATATAATTTCGAAGGGAAGTATATTTCACACTAACTATGGCGTATACATGCTAAATGTTATTAGTTAATGTGTACTCGAACAGGACGCAGAGAAAACCAAATTGTGTGATGGTACCAATTTTAACACTGTAATATTAAAATTTCAAAATTAATAACAGTGAATTATTGACATGGTACAATGACAATAACTTGTAATAATAATGACTGAAGGTTTATTTAAAAAACAAAAATATTTCTGCAGATTCTGGACGTGAGAATCATTCTGTAAAATCAAGATTTTGTTGTTGTTTTGACACACAGAGTTGGTCATGTGATAAAAAGTTTATCATTGATATCACTCATGCTTTGAACTGGTTGATACTCTTGTCATGGTCTGTAATATCCACACTCAATTTAGTTTGATGATGTCTCTTGTATCAACCAACCCTACAAAGTGATATCAGGGCATAACCTCGTCGTGTCTGGCATCTGTTGGCTGTCCATGGACAACATTTTTCAAAATGACTAAACCATTTAAACTCTATTGTCCTCCTTAATCTCATGTCAAGCTGGATACATCATTGCAATATAATCACCAAATTGTTTATGGAATACCTGAATGTAGAATAAAATGATTTGGCTTTATTTACTTGTCTCGATCACCTCTATTCCCTGATTTTAGAAATAAGTTATCATTTTTGTTAACAAAAAAATTTCTTTTGGTGCTTTCTTTTCTAATGGCTCACCTGATTGCTTTAATATGTGATATGTTAAATATTTTGTTTGAAAACTGTTGGACAGACAGTTTGTTTTTAGTTTCTATTCAAACTAAGTCTAAAGGCACAAACTTATAGATGTACCTCAGTGCATCCGTACCTGCATCTCTGACATGCCTGGACCAAACAAGTTCAAACTTCAAATATACATGATGTTGCACATATGCATATGTATTTGTATCACAATTCAATTCAAGATGGCAGAATAGTGAACATTTCAAAGCTTAAAAATGCATCAAAATCGATCATACCGACATTCTGGAATTGACTCTGTCTTACCAATCATTCGGTTTTCAAATCAGATTTAAAATGATGGCCCGTTTGTTTTTATGAATGCTATACTGGTATTATATCTCTGACATGCCTTGACTGCTTGCAATCAAACTTTACACATATGTTATGCATCACATTTTCTTTTCTCAAGTTCTGTTTTAAAATGGCAAACCCCTATTAATTTTAACTGTGTCATGTCAATGTCATTTTACATTTGATTTGAATAGTTGACACTGACAATTTAGAGTAATATAGCTTTATTCCATTGTCAATACTTTTATGTACATTCATGTACTTTGTCACCATACCAAATTTACATTATGTTAATAGGACCACCTGGACCCATGGGGCCAAAGGGAAGGCGAGGTGACGCAGGACCACCTGGAATAAAAGGAGATACTGGAAGTCCTTCACATGAAGGCACAGTAAGTTGCCAAAGATTAGTCTATAGAGGATATCCAATTAGTGACTGTAATATCGTTTTATTTAATAAATGAGTGTAGTCATGTTCATCATAAATTTAATAGCATGATTGCTTCATTTGTATTCATGGAAGTAATTTTATTGACTCCCAGGTGTGAAGCACAAAAGGGAGTCTTTGCAGTTACCCTGTCTGTATGTATGTATGTATGTATGTATGTATGTATGTATGTATGTATGTATGTCACTTTTTTTGTTCCACCGTTATCTCAAGAACCACTAATCAAATTTTCGTGAAACTTGGTACATAGATGCTCTGGGATGATGCGCAGAGTTGATTAGGTTTTGGTAAAAATCTATAAATATTAATTACCTAATTTGCATGATAATTAGCTGATTTTTAGCTGTTCCAAGACTGTTCCACTGATATCTGAAGAACCACTCATTGGATTTTGATGAAACTTGGCACATGGATGCTCTGAACTAGTGCGCAGATTTGATTAGTTTTGGGTAAAAATCTATGAATATTAATTACCTAATTTAAATGATAATTAACTGATTTCAAGCTGTTCCATGACTGTTCCACTGAATATTTGAAGAACCACTCATTGGATTTTGATGAAACTTGGCACATGGATGCTCTGAACGAATACGCAGATTTGATTATTTTTGTGTAAAAATCTATGAATATTAATAACCTAATTTGCATGATAA